TCTACTTATTTTTCCTTATCCTTCTCCTGTTGCTTCTTCTCAGTTATCTTTTTTTTTTTATAATGAAAATGTAAGTCTTTTTTTTTTATAATAAGTTTATTTTACTCTTGGCTGTATTGGGTCCTCCTTGCTGCGCACGGGCTTTCTCTAGTTGTGGCGAGCAACTATTCCTCGTTGCGGTACGCGGGCTTCTCATTGCGGTGGCTTCTCTTGTTGAGGAGCACAGGCTCTAGGTGCGTGGGCTTCAGTAGTTGTGGCGCGTGGGCTTCAGTAGTTGTGGCTCGCGGGCTCTAGAGCACAGGCTCAGTAGTTGTGGTGCACGGGCTTAGCTGCTCCACGCAATGTGGGGTCTTCCTGGACCAGGGCTCGAACCTGTGTCCCCTGCATTGGCAGGCAGATTCTTAACCACTGTGCCACCAGGGAAGCCCCCTTCTCAGTTATCTCTGCATCAGGCTCTTCTTTCTCTTAATGGATTCCCAAGGTTCTTGTCACAGTTTGCTGAGTCATTTTATCCAAGCCCACAGTTTCATCTACTACTCATATGTTGACCACTCCTACACCTTTATCTCTTGTTCAGCTCTCATTCTTGAACTGAAGACTGGATAGTCTTGGCTTCCTTGACACCACATTCTTGATTTTCCTTCTATCTCCCTGGTTGCTCCTTTTTGGTCTCCTTGTCTGGTTATTTCCCCTCTTTCTGGTCTCTACATATTTGTCAAGACCCAGTCCTGGGGATCCCTCATCTTGTCATTCTACTCTCTCTCACCAGGCAATCCTTGTCTTTAAAAACTCTGAAATGTGGATTACTCTTCCCTAATTTTCATTTCTGGTCAGACTGATTTTCTGAGTTCCAGATCCAAATGTCAAACTGCCTACAACTACTGTTTTCTAAACGATTTTCACAAATATCTAAAATTTAAGGGACTTCCCTGGCGGTCCAGTGGTTAAGACTCTGCGCTTGCAATGCAGGGGGCCCGGGTTCGATCCGTGGTCGGGGAACTAGATCCTGCATGCCTCAACTAAAGATCCCGCATGCTGCACTGAAGATCCCACATGCTGCAACTAAGACCCAGCGCAGCTAAATGAATAAATATTAAAAAAAAAATTTAACCTGTGAAAATTTTTTTTTTTTTTTTTTTTGGCGGTACGCGGGCCTCTCACTGCCGTGGCCTCTCCCGCCGCAGAGCACAGGCTCCGGACACGCAGGCCCAGCGGCCACGGCTCGTGGGCCCAGCTGCTCCGCGGCACACGGGATCCTCCCGGACCGGGGCACGAACCCGCACCCCCCCGTATCGGCAGGCGGACTCCCAACCACTGCGCCACCAGGGAAGCCCTAACCTGTGAAATTTTTTATCTTACCCCAACACTCTTCTTCCTCCAGACATCCCAGTTTCAGTAAGCGGCACAACTATCTGCCCATGCAAAATACATGGAAATTATCATCCTTGGTATCTTCCTCTTCAGGTCTAATCTACTGTCAAGTCCCACCTATTGTAATCACAAAGATCTCAAATCTATCTACTTCTTTACATCTCCTATCCCCATTCCAGGCCATCATCACCTCCTATATGGATTACCGCAATAGCCTCCTAATTGGCTTTCTCCACTTGTATTCGTCCTCACAGAGTGACCTTAAAATACAGAGAATGTCACTTCTTACTTGCTTTGGATACAATATAAAACGCTTACTATAGGCTCCTGCTTACTTCCCAGTGGCTTTCTTCCCTGCATCTCAGCCACAAATGACCTTCTCTCAGTTACGTGCAATACGCTGTTATGGACTGAATGCGTGCTTCCAAAATTCATATGTTGAAGCCCTAACCCTCAGTGTGATTGCATTTCGAGACAGCGTCTTTACGAGGTGATAAAGGTTAAATGAGATCATAAGGGTGGGACCCTAATCTGACAGGGCTGGTGCCCTTATAAGAAGAGTAAGAGACACCAGAGCTCTCGCCCTCTCTGCACACACCCATACACGCATACCTGAAGAAAGGCCGCGTGAGCACACAGCAAGGGGTCAGCTCTTCTGCAAACCAGGAAGAGTCCTCACCAGAAAACAATTGTGTTGGCACCTTGATCTTGGAATTCTAGCCTCTAGAACTGTGAGAAAAATTTCTGTTGATTAAGGTACCCAGTCTATGGTATTTTGTCCTGGCAGTGCAAGCAGACTGAGACACACACCAGTTTCTTCTTCCTGTCATGTAAATTCCTCTATCGGGAATACTACTTCCTTTTTGCCTAACTTCTTACTCATTCTTCAGGCTTTAGCTTAAATATCACTTGCTCAGAGAGACCTTCCCTTGCTCCCTGATCTGCATTATATTCCCCTACTATATTCTCTCAACTTTCTCTTCAAAAAGTTGGTTTTTATTTCTTTCATGTCTACCACCCTACACTAGGAGCTCCACAGGCCACAGTTGTGCTGTTGTGGCTGGCAGGCATTTGATAATTACTTTTTGAAAGAATTAATTATCATCGTAATATATTACAATTGTTTATTTTTTGTTGTTTCTTTCCTAACTAGACTAATCTCATTGCGAGCAGGAGCTGGGTTTTATTTTCTGTAGCACCACGTGGAGGACTGATGGTATAGCAGGTACTCTCTAAACGTTTGTTGTATGCATCAGAGGACTGGACCAGACCAGGGTCTCACGTTCAAAGGTACAAGGGATCTAAAGGATCCCTTAGATCCCTGAGGATCTAAAGATGCAGATTCTAGTTCAGTAAGTCTGGGGAGATGCCTGAGGATCTGCATTTTGCACAATCATGCCGCTGCTCCGTGGACCACAGTCGGCATAGTAAGAGACAAGAACACTCCAAATCCTTCCCACTTCTAACTTTCTCTGATTCTATAAACCACACACTCATAGTTTATAAAAACAATGCTATTTGTTTAACTTATTTCAAGGGAAATCCTTTCCAGATTCCTTTTCTAATCAGTAGCGTAAAGGAACAGTCCTTTAATTATTTCTTATTCCTTGAATCCTTTTCTCTATTTTGTAAATCTCAAGTCCAAGTCTCAAGCCCGAGCAGAGATTTGTTTAGGGCAGTGGGCTCGCCCTGGTCCCCACGGAAATGGCATCTTACGCCTTTACTCCTTCCGCTTCAATGGGCTCTTTATTATTTCAGTTAGGTTTGTATCCAATCTTTCAAACTTTCACTACGTTTAACAAAGTTCTCTTGAGATTAATTTACTTTCCAAGTAAATTAAATTACTTTTTTAAAAAAATTAATTAATTTACTTTCCAAGTTAATTTACTATTCTTCTCCTCTTTCCTTATGTTAAAACTCCTTCAGTTCTTCTTTTTTTTTTTTTTTTTTTGGCTGTGCTGCATGGCATATGGGATCTTAGTTCCTTGAACAGGGATTGAACCCATGCCCCTGCATTGCAGGCGCAGAGTCTTAACCACTGGACTGCCGGGCAAGTCCAAAACTCCTTCAATTCTTAACTCACCGATATGTATACTTAACAAACATTTTCCAGCTTGTAAAGTTCACAAAATTCTTCCCTTATTTCTTATTTCTCATAAGAAAGAGCTTTAAAGAAAAGCGTTGACTGACACACAGTAAGGTCAACACACAACTAGCTTTTTAGAAAGAATTTTGACATGGTAGTGAATATGAAAGTCTATTTTCATTCTTCCATTCATGTAATTGATTGACTGAGCACTGACCATGGCCCAGCACAGGGCCAGGTGCTGGTACTTCTGGGGTTAATAAGACAGACTTGGGCCCTGAACTCTCAAGAGATTATAGCCCCAGAGCTTTTGCTTAGGCTACATTTTGTTTCAAACGGTTTCTTGGCCCAATACACAAGTGTTGCTGGTGTTCTTTCTTTGGTTCCCCACTGTTAAGGGTATGTAGCACTGAAGCTCCTATTTGCTTAGTATGATCAGATAAATCAACCACTCAGCAAGTATGGACTGGCGGTGCCTCTCCTTCTGCAGAAGCTGTGATATGGATATACAGGACGTCTCAGTCTGAGGAAGCTTACATGCAAATTGGGGAGGTAAGAAAGAGAAGAGTTACATTTAGAAATAATTACAAATTAAGGTATGGTATCCAGCATAAAATTGTAAATTGAGAAAAGGAAGAGAAAAAAGCACAACGGCCTGGAAAGGCTTAATGAAGAACTGGGATGTGAACTGGAAAGGATTCGGATGGATGGAGAGGAAACGGCAGTGGACCACAGGCCGAGAATGAGCCCCTGTAGCATTATGGAGCGGCAGACAGGACCCCGCCCAGAGTTAAGCATCTCCCATGCTACGGAGCCTTCCTGGACTTCTTATATAAAACGAGAGACTGGATTAGAATGATTTCAAAGGTCCACTCAAGCTCTGTGAGCATCAGTTTGTTGGAGCTTATTTAGAAGTATTTATTGAAGGGATGGGAGACAAGGATTAACAGAAATCAGAAGATTCTGTGGTAGTCTAGGTGGGAAGAACTGGGGGTAGGGGAAAGGTGGCAGGAGACCACTGGTCTTTTCTCCAAAAATAAATTCATATTCATTATTTAAAAAAAAAATAAGTGCATCAAATCCCCTGGGTTAAAATATTTACACAGTCCCCTCCTCTACCTTGTCAACTGTCACAGGTCCAAAGAATATTTCCAGAGAAATAGCTGTAGAAAGAATGCTGGGATTAAAAGTAAGATTTTAGGGGGAAGTTGTGGCTCTATCATTTACTAGCTGTGTGGTGTCATTCCTAGAGTAGTCAAATGCATAGAGACAGAAAGTAGTAGAATGGCAGTTGCCAGGGGCTGGGGCGTGAGCGGGGGGGAATGGGAGTTAGCGTTTAATGGGTCCAGGGTTTCAGTGTGGGAAGATAAAAACGTTCTGGAATGGATCATGGTGATGGTTGCATAATAATGTGAATGGATGTACTTAATGCCACAGAACTATACGCTTAAAAATGGCAAATTTTATGTTATATATGTTTTACCACACTTAAAGGAAATAGTTTCAAGTCAGTCAGAACGAATCTTTATATATCAGTACTCACGAAGGAGCAATGTCCAGATGGTTGATGCTAAATCCAGAGGAGCAAAAGCCTCCCAGTGTTGTGGATATGGTTAGGAACGCAACAGCCAAAGAATAATCACAACCTATAAATCCAGCGGCTACCAGGAATACTGCAGGTCCAATCATTCCTGGAGTGAAAAAATTATAAAAAGAAAAAAAGGAAGCCCCAGCATTAATATTTGCTTGCTCTTTAATATAGCATAAATCTGAGATTTGATATTACTGCCATCTACTGTAGAAACAGTATATTGCCTAGAAGACTCAGTTTAAATTACAGTTTCATGAAAAAAAAATTGGCTGGAAAACATATAGGATTGATGCAACTATTATAAAACGTAAAAAAAAAAAAATCTCACTATGCAATGTTATTAAATCTACGTGTGACCAGGACTCAAAGTTCTACAATGTTTAAGAAAAGAACAAGAGAATGACTGAAGAATATGGTTCTAGAGAGAAGCAATAGTTGATACAGAATGTGATTCAAAGTTCACATAACCAAAGAAGATAAACTAAATAATAAACTTTGCTGGATAAAATTAGAAAAACACTCCATCTAGGTTTTGACAACTGAAAACGATACGTGGAGTTTATTACAGGCAGTTAAGCATAAAATACAAGTAATACAGGAAGGGACCTAACGAGTGGGCTGCTGTTTTCTCTCTGTGTCAATAGCAGTGCCATCCAACAACTCTCTGTGATGATGGAAATGTAGTATTTGTATATACTGCAACCAAGGAACTTATTTTTAAATTTCAATTACATTTAAACAGCCACATATGGCTAGTGGCTACTGTACTAGACAGAGCAGGTCCACAGAAAGCCAAAAAAGAAAAAATCGAATTAAATCTAAAGGGATTTATTTCACTTGTAGATGTGGAAAAATTTCTCCAGAGTCGAGGTCAGTAAGCAGTGGGACTGGACAGCACTTTGTAGCTGCAGGTGCTCAGAAGGTGTTTTCAGAATTACATTGAATAGGGTCCCTTTACAATGTAATTATGGAAGTACAGTCATCAGTGACTTTGAGGGTCTCTACTTACTCGAATAGTTGTCCTACATGGGTTTTTGTGTTTTTTTGTGTTTTTAAAAATTTATTTCCTGGCCACGCCACATGGCATGTGGGATCTTAGTTGCCAGACCAGGGATCAAACCCGTGCCCCCTGCAGTGGAAGCCACTGGACTGCCAGGGAAGTCCCTGTCCTACATAGTTTTAAAATTCACATTTCTGAAATCAGACTCTGAAACACATGATTATTTAAACTTCTCTGAGTTACAGCTTTGATTTATAGCTCCTCATTTGATATAATAATGTTAGTATACATTTTTGATTGAAATTTAAAATAGAAAAGGGATGGAGACTTAAAAATCTTATTTTCATTGCAAACTTAGAGTTGAAAACAAAGTGATTTTTAAAATTCTGGGGAAGATGGACTTCCCTGGTGGCGCAATGGATAAGAATCTGCCTGCCAAGGCAAGGGACACGGGTTCGAGCCCTGGTCCGGGAAGATCCCACATGCCGCGGAGCAACTAAGCCCGTGCGCTACAACTACTGAGCCTGCGCTCTAGAGCCTGTGGGCCACAACTACTGAAGCCCGCGCACCTAGAACCCGTGCTCCGCAACAAGAGAAGCCACCGCAATGAGAAGCCCGTGCACCACAACAAAGAGTAGCCCCCGCTTACTGCAACTAGAGAAAGCCCCCGCGCAGCAACAAAGACCCAACACAGCCAATAATAAATAAATAAATTAAAAAAAAATTCTGGGGAAGATATTCAGCAAAGCATACCTTTTTTTATAGTTACAAGAGTATGGTAGATATAATAGGATATTATAAATCTTAATCTTCATAATGCATCATTCAAAAAGAACCATCTTGTATAGACGTGCACTACATGCATTAAAATATATTGTTTTAATATGTGAACAAATGACTACTATTATCATTTTTATTTTGCCTTGCCTTGTAAACACAGTAAATAATTGTAAACCAAAACCAAACCTGATTCATCTTTACCTACCTATAAGGCTAAAAACTCTTCGAACACATAGAGTTGAAAAATTCCATTTTGCCCTTAAATTGTCAGCGGCCTGACCAGACAGGATCATACATAACCAGCAGCCTAAATAAGGGACTGCAGATAAAAACCCATTCTGGAAGGAATAAGAAGATCCGGAATTAATTATGGAGGGAGGAAGAACCAAAACAACATATACACACACACACATCCACCACCATATGAAAGCAAAGGAGATTCATAGCAGTATTCTGTTAATTTTTATATAATACAGCAAATAAGTCTGATTTTTCTAAGGATTATGGGATTCAGTTCAATGCAGTCCCAGAGAGCCTGTCTCAGAGGGAACCAGAGCTCCCATAGTGCAGTATGCTCAGGGTAATCTTGAATGTTATTTTGGGACTTTGGGCTGTAGCTTCAGTGAGAGAAGACGTCCTCCTATTAGCCTATGGATTTTCCCCCACGGGACAGTTTTCATTTAGTTATTTACTTTAAAAATAATTTTTATTATAAAATAAAATTCAGATAGAGAAAAGCACATAAGTCAAATGTATAGCTTAATGAATTATTCTAAAGTGAGCACCGTCTAGGTGCTGCTCGAAACTATACTGCTCTCTTCCGGCTTCTCCCTTGAGGATCCCCAGACCTGCTCCAACCGCTTCTACTGCATGATCGAGCTGGGCAGGAGCACTGATGAGGATGAAATGACAGCGCTATCTGCAGACTTTGTTCCCTCCGTAGAGTGTCCCCATGGCTCCCCCAGCGGCAGCCCCAGTGGCCCTGGCCCACCTGGCTCCCTCTGCTGACGTCCAGTGGTTTTATTTTTGTCCTTCTGTCTAAGGCAGGATACAAGGGCCTCAAGTCCTATCCCTTTCCACATTTGACATGGGGTTTGAAGGTTGTGTATTGTGTTTTTTTTTGTTTATTTTGTTCCGAAATTAAAGTATGCAAAATCAAGATGCAGTTAAAAAAAAAACAAACGTGGGCTTCCCTGGTGGCGCAGTGGTTGAGAGTCCGCCTGCCGATGCAGGGGACACGGGTTCGTGCCCCGGTCCGGGAAGATCCCACATGCCGCGGAGCGGCTGGGCCCATAAGCCATGGCTGCTGAGCCTGCGTGTCCGGAACCTGTGCTCCGCAACGGGAGAGGCCACAACGGTGAGAGGCCCGCGTACCACAAAAAAAATAAATAAAAAATAAAAAAATAAATGAAGGCAATTAAGTACATATACTAATTACCAGTAAGCTATTGATATTTCATTCTTTCTATAGTTCTCCTGGGAAAATTGCAAATAGAAGCATCAGTGGAATGATCTTTAAATTTGCATGCAATTTGTCACTACAGTAGGAGACAGGCTCTGTTAACAGAGAGCTTAGGAAAAGCAAGGTTGCTTGCAACAAATCCGTCCCACGCTGTTGGCAAAGCCTTATTTCAGTTTAACTTCTGTCAATGCAATTGGTGGATATATTTCAAGTATAATGGATCTCTTTTTTCAAAAGTAACTAGAGGAGTTCTTCACAGCTTAGCTGTTTGGGTCACGTTTAAGGTTTGGTCCATGTGGCCAGTGTTTTCAGTATGCCTTGGAAGTGAGGTGACGGAACAGTTCACTTTAACACTGTTGACAGCTCTAAGTCCTTGTAACCAATGCAGTTGTGCAGTCAGCCTTGCTATCATCACATTCACCCCCAGGCTTCTGCTTTACTTCCAGGGCTTCCACTCTGTGGCTGCGTAACAGTCCACTGTGGAATATACCATATTTTGTTTATCTATTCACCAGCTGATACATATTCGGGTGGTTTCCACGTTTTCATCATTACGAATAACGTTATGAACTTTTGTGTACATGTACATGTTTTTGTGTGCACAGATGTTTTCAGTTCTCTTGGGTATAGACCCAGGAATGGAATTTCTGGGTCATAATAATAACTTTATGTTTAACTTTCTGAGGAATTGCCAAACTGTTTTCCGTAACAGCGACATCCCCACCAGCAATGTGTGAGGGTTCTGTTTCCTCTACATCCTCACCAACACTTGTTATTGGTTTTCTGATTCTAATAGGTGTGAAGTGGTATCTCATTATGGTTTTGTGTTCCATTTCTGTATATATATATATATATATATATATAGTTTTGGCAAATAAATTTTATTTATTTTTTGACATCTTTATTGGAGTATAATTGCTTTACAATGGTGTGTTAGTTTCTACTGTATAACAAAGTGAATCAGCTATGTGTATACATATATCTCCATATCCCCTCCCTCTTGCATCTCCCTCCCACCCTCCCTATCCCACCCCTCTAGGTGGTCACAAAGCACCGAGCTGATCTCCCTGTGCAGTGCAGCTGCTTCCCAGCTGCTTCCCACTAGCTATCTATTTTACATTTGGTAGTGTATATACCAGCATAGTCAATGCTACTCTCTCACTTCGTCCTCCCAGCTTACCTTTCCTCCTCCCTGTGTCCTCAAGACCATTCTCTACGTCTGTGTCTTTATTCCTGTACTTCCCCTAGGTTCATCAGAACCTTTTTTTTTTTAGATTCCATATATATGTGTTAGCACACGGTATTTGTTTCTCTCTTTCTGACTTACTTCACTCTGTATGACAGTCACTAGGTCCATCCACCTCACTACAAATAACTCAGTTTTGTTTCTTTTTATGGCTGAGTAATATTCCATCGTATATATGTGCCACATCTTCTTTATCCATGCATCTGTCGATGGACACTTAGGTTGCTTCCATGTCCTGGCTGTCATAAGCAGTGTTTCAATGAACATTGTGGTACATGACTCTTTTTGAATTATGGTTTTCTCTGGTATATGCCCAGTAGTGGGATTGCTGGATCATATGGTAATTCCATTTTTAGTTTTTTAAGAACCTCCATACTGTTCTCCATAGTGGCTGTATCAATTTACATTCCCACCAACAGTGCAAGAGGGTTCCCTTTTCTCCACACCCTCTCCAGCATTTATTGTTTGTAGATTTTTTGATGATGGCCATTCTGACCGGTGTGAGGTGGTACCTCATTGTAGTTTTGACTTGCATTTCTCTAATGATTAGTGATGTTGAGCATCCTTTCATGTGTTTGTTGGCAATCTGTATATCTTCTTTGGAGAAATGTCTATTTAGGTCTTCTGCCCATTTTTGGATTTTGTTGCTTATTTTTTTAAAAATTAATTAATTTATTAGTTTTGGCTGTGTTGGGTCTTTGTTGCTGTGCACAGGCTTTCTCTAGCTGTGGCAAGCAGGGGCTACTCTTTGTTGTGGTGCATGGGCTTCCCATTGAAGTGGCTTCTCTTATTGTGGAGCACAGGCTCTAGGCACACGGGCTTCAGTAGTTGTGGCATGCGGGCTCAGTAGTTTTGGCTTGCGGGCTCTAGCGTGCAGACTCAGTAGTTGTGGCACACAGGCTTAGTTGTTCCGCGGCACGTGGGATCTTTCTGGACCAGGGCTCAAACCCGTGTCCCCTGCATTAGCAGGAAGATTCTTAACCACTACGCCACCAGGGAAGACCCTTGCTTGTTTTTTTGATATTGAGCTGCATGAGCTGCTTGTATATTTTGGAGATTAATCCTTTGTCAGTTGCTTCGTTTGCAAATATTTTCTCCCATTCTGAGGGTTGTCTTTTCATCCTGTTTATGGTTTCCTTTGCTGTGCAAACCATTGAGTAATGATGTTGAGCATCATTACCTGGGCTTATTGGTCACTTGCATATCTTTGGAGAAATGTCTATTCAAATCCTTTGCCCATTTAAAAAATTGGGTTATTTATCCTTCTATTATTGAGTTGTATAAATTCTTTACATATTTATCAGATATATAATTTGCAAATATTTTCTCCCATTCAGTGGGTTTTTATTCTTGATAGTGTCCTTTGAGGCACAAAAGTTTTCAATTTTGATGAAGCCCAATTTATCTATATTTTCCTTTGGTCATTGTGTGCTTTTGGTGTCATATGTAAGAAACTGTTGCAGAGCCCAAAGTCACAAAGATGGACACTTCTAAGAGTTTTATCATTTTAGCTGCTAACCTTCACATCTTTGATTTATCCTTCATCTTGAAGGCAAAAACACGACCAAATTTACTTACAAACTGTGCCTCTTTCTCTTTAGGTTTTTCTTCAATCTCTTTAAAGACAAAATCCGTCAACATACAGATAACAGGAATTGCCTCAGTTTGATGAGTTCAGAAGGAACTGGCAGTTTTAGTGGGGGGTCTGTCTCACACAGCTTTGCAACTATAGCTCTGCCAACACCTGGATAACACTGCAGAGCGACTTCTGTACAAGAACCTTGTGTCTCCCAACACCCCTCTTGGCTCCCAGCAGAGTCGGGCTACCATCCCAAAGGAATATGGTACCACCTGCATTTATCATCTGAGATCCTGGCATGTTCCTGGGGACTAGTAAGACCTTCACAGTTAAAGGGCATACCAGCCAAGATACTCTGAATCAAGAGTTAACACACACAGAGGAAAGGAACAAGCAAGGCTAAAAAGAGCAGTCTCTAGAATTTAGTATATCAGAGTAAAATGGAAGATGCAAAATAACTGAGTCTCACATAGATAAAAACAAATTCTGTATACTCTCTATAAGAAGCAGATACTTATGTTTTCTTACCTCTTGAATACTGAACCTTAGGACCTCCTTCATGTAAGTAGGCAATAAGGTCAATAGAGTATAAAAAGTCCAGTTGTAAGAAAAATGTGCAACTACAATAGCCCAAAGTGCTAGTGATTTCAGCATAGGTACCCATGGCACTGACTTCTGTGAAGAGAGCTGAAAAAGAAAAAAAAAAAAACCAGGCATAATTAGGATAAGCTACAGCTATGTTCATGCTATGTTTAGATCTGTATCTGATCAGCTAAAATTCCATCTAGAATACGTTATCAACCTTGATTACTAAATCCCAGATTTTTAAACAACTCTTTTAAAGTATTAAACAGCAATAGAAACTCCATGATTCAGATCTGAAGAAAAAACAGAAATGTAATCTTAGAGCTAAAATGTCAAACTAAATACTCCTTACGAATGTCAGAAGTCACCTGCAATATTACTTTTTCCACCTAAAAAACAAAGGACAGTTTAATAATCAAATTCAGAGGCTGACATAAGGGCAAAGGAAAGAGATTAGAAGTCCTATTAGAATTCATATTTCATTCTCCAATCTTTATTCATTTACAATGATCTATAAGAACCGTGCAATAGAAGGTTTTTATGTAGCCATCTGGAGTAACGGTCTTCAAAGCAGGATGTAAGCACCCCAGCAAGATAATCCTCCATGGTGTGGAAAGACATAACAGATCTTCTATCTATACTCACTTTTATTGTACAAAGAGAAATTAAGCTCTATTAATATTTAACAAATAGGTTGGCCCTGGAATATGTCAGACCATCACATGTTGTATGATCTCCCCAATGAAAAGGGGTTAATGGCATCCTTACTTGTTGGTCTGCCCTCGGTGTAATATTACAGCATGTTACAGTTTACATCTGCCTTTTAAAATGGATTTATGGATTTTATTAGCCAGTCTTAATTAAAACAAATCTACAAAATCAAACAATGTCTTCAAAAGATTCTTAAGGAGAAAGTAAACAGAAGTCTAATAATGTAAGCACGAGTGAACACCAAGAAAATAGTAGAATTGACACTTTTCCTCTTGAGTCCTTTGTCAGCTACCTCACCAAGCGAAATAATGGCAGGCTCATCAAATACACCGTATTGGGACTTCCCTGGTGGTGCAGTGATTAAGAATCCACCTGCCAGTGCAGGGGACATGGGTTCAAGCCCTGGCCTGGGAAGATCCCACATGCCGTGGAGCAACTAAGCCCGTGCGCCACAACTACTGAGCCTGCGCGTCTGGAGCCTGTGCTCCGCAACAAGAGAAGCCGCCGCAATGAGAAGCCTGCGCACCACAACAAAGAGTAGCCCCTGCTCGCTGCAACTAGAGAAAGCCTGTGAGCAGCAACAAAGACCCAATGCAGCCAATAAATAAATAAATAAATTTATTTAAAAAAATACACCGTATTCAAACACACTGGTCCCATTAAACAACATATCATTACTAATTTTAAGTGATAAAAAGGTTTCTCCTATTAAAATTCAAAAATGATGTACATACTGTTTATTTCACCTTACTCACCCTTTAAAGAGCCTATCTTTATGGACGTTTTATAACGTCCATACGTACAGCAGTGCATGTAGATAACTGTAAAAACATGCATATATTCAGGTTGTTAAGCCCCTGTCCCCATTGCTTTATTGATGCATGATTAAGTAAAGCCTGAAGACCACTGGCCTGGGAAATCAGTTCCTTACATTTCCTATATCCTGAGGCTCTGCTGTGTCTTCCTCAAAAGCTAGAGCAATCTATGTTTCTACCTCCAGGTTCACTATTATTTCAAAAAGAGGAAGAACCAAAAAAAAAAAAAAAAAAAAAAAGGAAGAACCAGTATTAACCTTCTTGTGGCCTTTTTCTAGGGACTTTCGTTGTGACTTGGTAGATATGCTCTTGTGTTCTCCACTATGTCAAAGATGTAGGGGAGGTGGGAGCAGAGAAGGAGAGGGGACATTTATTCTTACATAGCAGTGGTTCTCGATTCCAGCTACGCTTCAGAATCACCTTTGACACTTCAAAATTACAGATGGCTGTGTTCTACCCCAGACCTGCTGAATCAAAGCCAAAGCCAAACTTCTGAGTGGAGGGCCAAGGCATATATTTTATTTATTTATTTATTTATTTATTTATCAAAAGGGATTCATTTTTCTTTTATTTATTTATTTGTTGCTTATTTAGTTTTGGCTGCACTGGGTTTTCGTTGCTGCGCGCGGGCTTTCTCTAGTTGCGGTGAGCAGGGGCTACTCTTTGTTGCGGTGCGCAGGCTTCTCATTGCGGTGGCTTCTCTTGCGGAGCACGGGCTCTAGGCGTGGAGGCTTCAGTAGTTGTGGCTCGCGGGCTCTAGAGCAAGGCATATATTTTAAAAAGCTTCCCTGGTGATTCTACACAGCAGTGGTTCCCAAACTTTGCTGCACATCAGAATCACCGGGGGAGCTTAAAACACTCCAATATTACACTGAGACCAATTAAATCAGGTTGGGAGGCGTGTAGGAGGTAGGTGGCTGTATTTTTTAAAGATCCCCAGGTGATTTCAAAGTGTAGCAAACTTTGGGATCCTCTGCTATAGTAATTAAAGAATTCTGCAACCTCCCCCCTGCCCTCTGCCACCCCTTGCTTGAAAATCTTAGGACAAAGAGGAAGGAAAAAACCAGTCTAGAGATTTTAGAGTTTAAAGGAATTTGGAATATAGCTTTTTTTACATGGCTGTGAAACTCACAAAGGAAACGAAATCACACTTCTGTGTTGAAAGGTACGAGCTTAAATGTATCTGATCTCTGAAAACTAAATATATTCTGAATAATGTATTCCCCCCACCTGGAAATATAAACTTTAATGTGAAATATGTAATAATTTTAAGACTCATGCTGCATGTATTTACACTTACTGATGGTGATGTTTTAGAAGCTCTGATAATAGCTTTTGTAGCTCTTCACCAGTATTTAGGCGTAATCTTGCTTGTACAAATGAAGCAAAACTGAAGCAAACTGAGCCATACTGGAATATTTTTGCAGTATATCAATTGAATTTTTGATAATCTGATGTTTCTGGAGAATCACTCAGCCATAACCAGCTATATGTGGAGAGTAACGTCAGCAAGATGGCCAAATAATATGTCCCCTACTGGTATCCATCGTCCTCTACCCCCAGCAACAATTTGGCATCCATCCACGGGCAAAAGTGTCTTTCTGGGGGCAGAGGGATCTAGAAACATGTCAAAGGACCTGGTAGGAGTCACGCATGCCTGTGTGTTATGTAAAAGACATACAGATCTTGCTCCCAGCTGTGAACCCTGAAGTAGCCTGTGAACCAGCTCTAGCCCCTCTTGGCTGGGAGCAAATTTTCTTTAGATATTTGAGTAAGGGAATTTCTGAAGGAACAATCAATGAGGTCTTGGATCTTGTAGAGAGAATGTATCATTAAATTAGCAATAATAGCCCATACAGCTTTTTTTTTTCATACAAGTTGAAGCAGAAAAGGACAAAACAAAAATGTATTTGTTGTCAGATGAGCAAATTCTTCTAGACTATAAAGGAAGGGTAAGGATATTCAACAACATTTGAGTATCTTCTATGCGTAACTTCACAAAAAAAATGTCTTCCTGTCACATGCAAATAAAAGCAAATTGGTTTAGAAAAAGCTGCATGCAATACATGTTCTTAAGTTAGGTCAACTAAATATTCAAGCCAGAGCCCTCATTTGCTTAAGGCTGCAAAATTGTACACTCTTTCTAAAAGGTACAAAAGAGAAGCAAAACAGTTATAAAACATGCTGTTCTCAAGACTTAAGTAAAGGGACTTCCCTGGTGGTCCAGTGTCTAAGACTCCATGCTCCCAATGCAGGGGGCCTGCATTTGATCCCTGGTCAGGGAACTAGATCCTACATGCCGCAACTAAGAGTCCACATGCTGCAATTAAAGAACCTGCATGCTGCAATGAAGACTGAAGATCCTGTGTGCTGCAACTAAGACCCAGCACGGCCAAATAAATAAATATTAAAAAAAAAGACTTAAGTAAAGAAAAGAAAAAAACCAAAAGCAGATCTACTCCCACATGCCACAGCTAAGAGTCCACATGCTGCAACTCAAGAACCTGCATGCTGCAACGAAGATCGAAGATCCTGCATGCTGCAACTAAGACCCGGCTCAGCCAAATAAATAAATGTTTTTAAAAAAAGACTTAAGAAAAAAACCAATACGAGATCTCTTGAGAAAAGAAAACTTCAATGGGTAAAGTGGTAATGTCTTAAAAATTTTTTTAAAAAGAGACCTTCATATAATGTGTTCTTGGATTGGAAGAATTAATACTGTTAAAATGACCATACTACCCAAGGCAATCTACAGATTCAATGCACTCCCTATCAGAATACCAATGGCTTTTTTGCACAGAACCAGAACAAATAATTTTAAAATGTGTATGGAAACGTAAAAGACCTCAAATATCCAAAACAATCTTGAGAAAGAAGAACAGAGCTGGAGGAATGTGCTCCTGACTTCAGACTATATTATAAAGCTATAGTAATCAAAACAGTATGGTACTGGCACAAAAACAGACACATAGATTAATGGAACCGAATAGAAAGCCCAGAAATAAATCCAGGCACTTATGGTCAATTAATCTACAACAATGGGGGCAAGAATATACAATGGAGAAAAGACAGTCTCTTCAATAAGCAATGCTGGGAAAACTGGACAGCTACATGTAAAAGAAAAAATTATAACATTCTGTAACACCAGACACAAAAATAATAACTAAAAATGGATTAAAGACCTAAACGTAAGACTGGATACCATAAAATTCCTAGAGGAAAACATAGGCAGAACACCCTCTGACATAAATTGTAGCAATATTTTCTTGGATCTGTTTTCTAAAGCCAAGTAAATGAAAGCAAAAATAAACAAATGGGACCTAATGAAACTTAAAAGCACAGCAAAGGAAACCATCAACAAAACGAAAAGACAACCTACTGAATGAGAGAATATATTTGCAAATGATATGACTGATAAGGGGTTAATATTCAACATATATACACAGCTCGTACAACTCAACATAAAAAAAAAAAAATCCAATAAAAAATGGAAAGAAGACCTAAATAGACACTTCTCCAAAGAAGACATACAGATGGCCAAGAGGCACATGAAAAGATGTTCAACATTGCTAAATA